CCACACTCTCAGCTGTCCCGGCTCTGTAAGAAGGGGTGTGGTGCCCAGGGCTGGCCTCTCCAGGCCACATCCTTGCTCTGGCCAACAAGGAAGCAAGGTCCGGCAGGTTTGGCTGCATTCTCCCAAAGCAACAGGTCCCTTCTCTCCAAACTAGTTCATGGGAGGGACTGTACCTCTGGGTACTCCCAGACTCTCAGGAGTCAGCAGCCTTTAGCTTAAGGGCCCGAGCACTGTGGTCACAGGTCTGGGAGCACAGGCACAGGGGTGGGGAGGAGGTATCACTGTACCCTCCAGACAGGAGAGGTCCCTGAGTAGCTGGTTTCCCTGGCCCACAGGCTGGGGTGGCCCTGACTGTCATGGGTTTTGAAAGTCCAGGACATGGAGGTTATAAGACAGCGCAGCATAGAGATGCTTGGTGGTGAAGCGCAGGCAGTACACAGGACTGCTGAGGGGCGTCGATGTCAGCGGGAAGGCCTGCAAGGGAGGACAAAATGGCGAGGGTGGCCTGAGTAGGAGATGGGGGAGCCCGAACCCAGGATTCCCGGGCCCAGTGCAATGGGCCAGGTGCCGCTGTAGGCTTCCTCCCACCCTCTCCAGGCACACCCACTCCCAGGTGCGGCCTATAAAAATGAGTCCTGGCTTCCTGGAGGTGAGAGGTGGGTGGGACACCTACGTGTAGGCAGGCCCTTTGGCGCCGGTCCCACAGTCGTACAACTCCGTAGTAGGAGGAACCAGTGGCCAGCAAATGGTTCCCATCTGTCTGCAAGCAGTACAGGGTGCTGTCGTGGGGCTCCTCCCACTCCATGACACACTTCCTGTCCAGGAAGAGGAGACACAGGGGTAGCTTCATGACTGCCCTCCACCTCTACCCCTGCTTCCCCATTCTGGCTGAGAGAGAGAGGTGAATCACCAAATTCTTTAAAAACCAGCCTTACTGAGGGAAAGCCTCAGTAAAGGTCTCTTTCTTGCTAAGCCCCAGACCCAAGGGCAGGTTATGCCTTCATTTGTGTTTCACATGACTAACTACATGTCAAAGAACTTATAAGGCTTCGGAGAGGTAGAAAGGCCTAAAGAAAGGCTGGGACAGAATGCTGAGGGATGGCACCCTGACAGATCCCGAGGCTTTTATCAGGGCCTGGTGGCTACGGTCTCTCAGGCCCCGGGGCCAAGGCTGCTCAAGGTGAAGAGTCTAAGCTTGATCTGACCTTGCCAGCCACTCCTTGCCAGCTCCTGACATGGAGTCTCTGTGCCCTCTCCCATGGGCCCTGAGGACTGGAGTGAAGGCTAAGGCCAGCACAAGGCTCCTATCACCTGTCCTGCCCCGCACACGCACCTGACACTGGCACGGAGGTCCCAGTAGCGAACGTAGGTGTCGTAGCCACAGGACAGGAGTGTGGAAGGGGACTCATACATGACGTCCAGCACCCCAGCCCCTGGGGGGAAGTCACTGCCTAGGTGCGTCATCAGCTGCCCACTGGGGAGAGAGGAGGGGCAGAGAATGAGCAGCTTGGCCCACAAAGATCTTTTGAACCTCCAAATGGCATCTCCTGAGGAAATGCAGCTCTCCTTCCTAAGCTAAATTAGACTCCCTTAGAAAACAGGGGTGCTTAGGGAGGAGATGCTCTGGACTCCCACCCCTCGCACCTCAGTCCCAGTCCCTGCCCCTACTGCCAGCTAAAGGCCTCAATCAGCTGCCAGCAGCCCCTCCATCACACCTGCACACTGGCCACCCGCCACCCAGCCTCTTCTCTGGACGATGAATGAGCCTTGCTGAAGGGGTCGCCCCCGCCCCCGCCCCCCCCCCACATGGTTATTTTATACTCCTTGATCCTGCAGGTCATGCAGTTCTGAGCTGCCTGAGTCCAATGCCTTAATTCCCGCCTGTAATCTGGGGCTCAAACCTCATTGGGGATAAAGACCACACAAAGGGAGAAGGAGAGTCCTAGGAGATGTTAAAACAAGTAAACACCTTTGTGTCTGGGGAGAGAAATCGCTGAGAAAGCAGCTTAGCAGGCTGGTCCCTGGTGTTCCCGGCCCGGCTGGCCCCCGGCCCGCAGCAAGCACGCCTCTGTGATCACAGCCCCCAGCCTGCTGGGCTCCAGCTTGCTCCCCCATCCTCGCCCCTCCCGGTGGCCAAGAGCAGATTACTGAGAAGAACAATTTCTTTGTGACTGTGTAATTCCCTCCGTGACCGCGGTAGTGGGCAGACCCCTCGCCCCGATGCCAGACCCCTGGCAACCATGTAGGGGGGCCTCCTGGCCCTAGCAACAACCCCTCAACATCAAGTGCACCCGCTAATCCCTGTGGCTAGGGGACGGGTAGAACAGTGAGTATACCAAATGACTGAGATGAATGAAGAAGAAGAGAGGCACCCTTCAGGCCCCATTCCTCAGCTTCACCAAGAGATGCTGGGCTCTCCTCCATGGCGTCACAGGAGAAACAAGGCCCTGGACACTTCACAGGGACACACAGGTAAGAGGCTCAGGCATGGAGTGGGGAGGACTTTGTGGTCACATCAGCCCAGCTTTGGCCCAAGCAGTATTCATCAAAGGGCTTGAGGCCACCGAGGCTGCCAGTCATGTGTGTGAATGTGGCCCTCAGCTCCAGTCCTTCCACTGCACACAGACTCCACCCCACACCTCCCTTCTTCCCCATGGAGTCGCTGTCTTCCCTGAAGGCTGAAAGAGTAAAGGAGGAGGCTGTGGGTTCCTTTCTGCCCACTTTGAGCCCTGGACGGTGAAGCAACCCCCAGCAAGTAGCACCATTGCTGACCTAAGTCAGCACTTCTGCCCCCAGCCTCCTCCCCAGGGCAGTGCCTTTCTTCCTATCAGGGTAGATCACGATAAGCCTCTGTGTACGTGTGTGTGTGGGGGGGTGGAATCCTGAGAGGAATCAGGGAAAAAGTTTTCTCCCCAGATCAGGTTCTCCCAGAGATCACTGACCTGCCTTCCCAGCGGGCCCCTGGCCATGACTCAACACCCTCTTCCCTGGAGCAGGCCAGAGCCCCAAGAGGGGTTGGTCTCGTTCTCACGGGTACACATGCACATTTGTGCACACTGGGTAGGGGCTGTTTTGCTCCACAGTTCTCCCTCTCCTAGATTTGGGGGCCCTGCCCCCTCCATTAGTGAGGCCTTCAGGAATGACTGAGGAGCTCTCTCCTTTAATCTACAGAAGTAATTTCATGTTTGTCTGTTTGAAACAGAAGATGAAAGGCAGTGGGGTTGGGGGCGTGAAGCCCAGCATGGCTCTACCTGCCCACCCCTGGTCCCAGGGCTCAGAAGGAAGGAAGGCTGGTCATCCCTGGCTGGGCAGGGTCAGCAGCGTAGGGGCCACACCCAGGCCAAGTTGCCGATCTGGACCCCTGCCCCAGTGTCCCAGCCACCACTGGAAAGTGTCATGCCACAGTGTCTGCAATAAGAAACACAGAACACTACCCTCTGAGGGAGACCCAAGGGCCAGAGTGAGCACCAACCCCTGAGGACCAGGACAAGTCCAGAAAGACCCTCGTCTGCCAGCCCAGCCTGGCCAGGGTCTGAGAAGTTTCTTTCTGCAGCACTGTTCTCTGATTCTCTGAAACAGCCACACACACTTTAAATAGGCCAATAAAAAGATACAATTTCTCTTGCCTCTGGGCCAGGGACCCTTGAGACTCTGTTGTGCAGTGCCCGTGAGGTTAAGTTCAGAGCATAAACTGACACACCAGGCTCTGGGAAATGGCCCGTCTCTTCAAATAGCAGCCCAGCAGTGCCATAGAAGTCCTGCTGGGGCTTTG